ATTTTCGGTATCCCAGTCAATGTATCATTTAGCAAATCGATACGTTCTAAGTTGCGATACTTCATCTATCCCTGAATCACCACATAATACACACCACGAGTGTAATCTTATCATATTAAACAGACAGCCATTTGGCTACTACTCTGCCGAGAAAAACTGGGCAGTCTACTACACGTTTGTCCTTATGGAGCTCATCAGGTGTTTCTGCTCTCCGAATTCCCATTGACCTTTCTTCACACTTGACCGCACCTGTACACATGCTGAGAAGAGTACTCATTTTCTAGTTAAATTGGTGTTAAAGAAGAACTCAGCTTAATTTCACCAGAAACTTTCGTTGATGAGCAGTACTGAAATATGTTTGACTATCATGAATATCGTTCCAAGTGAATCGCTGTGTTGTTTCTGTACAGTACATCGTAAACAGGAGTCCCACGTGATATTCCAGCTCCCGTCAACAACAAATTACTTTGCAAATAAATGTTACTTGCAACAATCATCTGACTAGTTTTCACACACGGAGAAGACCTTGTTCATCTGAACTGTGTGATGCCAATCGGTAAATACCTGTTGGACCAGTAAGAGGAACACTTCAATAATTCGGAATCTAGGCAGACTGCGTGCGGCCAGCAAAAAGTGTAGCATGAAGATTAGGATCCCCGGGATTAAAGTTGTTTATTTACTGTCAGTGCCTACGATGATATTGATTAATTTCACCAGACAAATACTACTTTTTCAACACCTTCGCTCGTTAAGAACAATCACTAAGGTATTGTAAATTACGGAAGAATTTTCTTTTGGAATGATCAGATAGTCAGCCAGAAACAAAATCTTAACAGCTGGCATGCATTTGAAATTCCTGAATTCCTCAGACATGGAGGCTGTTTACAAGGTGGGATTTTTGGCATGTGATTGAACATTCTTGTGCAATTGTTGAACGCATGGTTAGTCATAATGGTAACGTTGGACGGTCTGCATGACTACCCCGGTAGCTTGCTCCTCTGGCAGCTTCCGCTGTGCTGAGAACAAAGGGGCTGAGTAAGTGACGTTCCCTCACTGGTGGATGAGTAAGGCTGTACCGAAAGGTAGGGGCATGTGTTTTAATGACCATGCTACATTCATTTTCACAAAGAATTTCACAGATGGGAAGAAAGTTTACAGCCATGCACTACCACTGTTCATGACTGTTCGAGTCGGTGACTCAGAACAGGTAGGTCTCTGGATTTCAACCATACAGATCAAAGTAGCCAGCAGTTCTTTCTTTTACTCGTATTCTTATCCTAAGTTTTCTTCCCTGTTTGACACAATTTATCCTCAGTGTCATCTTACCAGTTGCAAGATCCACCTTTGTTGTCACACACCAACCTCATATTATAGATCCAGTGATCAAGGTTGCACCAAAAAATTGAACACTTCAGTCGGTACGCAAACATCATAACATTATTACTGGTTGACTATAAGTGGATGGAATTCGTGCCACTCTCTAAACAACGGTCATATACGGATAGTTCCGTGCGTTTCTTCACTTTAAATCCATGTTGATGTAAATGCGATGCTTGAACGCCATGTTTTGATCAAATTCAATGTTCAGCGATGAAAAAAATCCAGAGGTTTTCGAAGACTTATTACTTTATTGTTATCTAATAAGTAGTGCAGAAGTAACAGCATTTACAAGACTAGTTGTGGTGAGTTGTCAAACAAGAAAGCAGCCAACATGTGACCACGTGATGTGAATTCTATGACAGAGATGAGTAGCATTTTATCCTGCCCAAGTGCGAAATAATCACACTGCCAATCAACCACTCCGGACCGAGTGGCTCAGTTTTGAACGACTGGTCGGGAGACTGCTAGTTCGAATCGCCGGGTAGATTCGTGAGATCTGTACTGCCAATGTTTCCAAAGTAGGATGAAACAGCTATATAGTGGTCCTCGACTTTTCGGCATAGATGGACTTCATCTAGCGGGCGAAATCCTCATTGAAAGATGCGGTTAGTATTGCTTGGTTGAAGTCCTGCGTACGGTGGAACAACATTAGATACATAACATTGCAAGTAGTATCTCGTATTGTTTCCGTGTCACCTTTATCACCGTCAGTATTCAAGGAGTGGGCTGATTTTTGCCTCATTAGTCGTGTGACACTGATCCATTAGTTCACATAGCAAGATGCGTCTAGTCTGCATTCATACACAACGAATATGCCTGTCCACTGTTGTCAGTCTCTTCGGGCTGCCCCCATGATCCACACGGAGTGAATTATTAGCAATAACTTATAAAGATTGTCACAAATCAAGAGCTAGGTTTTTCTGCCCAAATTTCAAAAAAATCGCTTGGAAATTCACATGGAAATACAGTTTATTCATAAATGTTTACCATGTTATGATACCCCATATAGCGTTCACTCCTCTGAAACGACCGATTCTGATAGCACAACAAGCACAAGACAAAATAGTTTGCCTCCAATGTTTAAAAATTCGGAGGAGACTTATAGCTATTTAAACAAAGGTATCAAACGAACAGTAAATCCGCTTACTCAGTAAGTTTCTAGATAGCAAGTGCATATACGACATTTCAATCAAGCTAAGGCGACGTTACAGAGCACAGATGCATTGTGTAGATGACAGTTTCATTTTCGGTATCCCAGTCATCATTTAGTTTAGCAAATCGATACGTTCTAAGTTGCGATACTTCATCTATCCCTGAATCACCACATAATACACACCACGAGTGTAATCATATTAAACAAAACAGACAGCCATTTGGCTACTACTCTGCCGAGAAAAACTGGGCAGTCTACTACACGTTTGTCCTTATGGAGCTCATCAGGTGTTTCTGCTCTCCGAATTCCCATTGACCTTTCTTCACACTTGACCGCACCTGTACACATGTCGAGAAGAGTACTCATTTTCTAGTTAAATTGGTGTTAAAGAAGAACTCAGCTTAATTTCACCAGAAACTTTCGTTGATGAGCAGTACTGAAATATGTTTGACTATCATGAATATCGTTCCAAGTGAATCGCTGTGTTGTTTCTGTACAGTACATCGTAAACAGGAGTCCCACGTGATATTCCAGCTCCCGTCAACAACAAATTACTTTGCAAATAAATGTTACTTGCAACAATCATCTGACTAGTTTTCACACACGGAGAAGACCTTGTTCATCTGAACTGTGTGATGCCAATCGGTAAATACCTGTTGGACCAGTAAGAGGAACACTTCAATAATTCGGAATCTAGGCAGACTGCGTGCGGCCAGCAAAAAGTGTAGCATGAAGATTAGGATCCCCGGGATTAAAGTTGTTTATTTACTGTCAGTGCCTACGATGATATTGATTAATTTCACCAGACAAATACTACTTTTTCAACACCTTCGCTCGTTAAGAACAATCACTAAGGTATTGTAAATTACGGAAGAATTTTCTTTTGGAATGATCAGATAGTCAGCCAGAAACAAAATCTTAACAGCTGGCATGCATTTGAAATTCCTGAATTCCTCAGACATGGAGGCTGTTTACAAGGTGGGATTTTTGGCATGTGATTGAACATTCTTGTGCAATTGTTGAACGCATGGTTAGTCATGATGGTAACGTTGGACGGTCTGCATGACTACCCCGGTAGCTTGCTCCTCTGGCAGCTTCCGCTGTGCTGAGAACAAAGGGGCTGAGTAAGTGACGTTCCCTCACTGGTGGATGAGTAAGGCTGTACCGAAAGGTAGGGGCATGTGTTTTAATGACCATGCTACATTCATTTTCACAAAGAATTTCACAGATGGGAAGAAAGTTTACAGCCATGCACTACCACTGTTCATGACTGTTCGAGTCGGTGACTCAGAACAGGTAGGTCTCTGGATTTCAACCATACAGATCAAAGTAGCCAGCAGTTCTTTCTTTTACTCGTATTCTTATCCTAAGTTTTCTTCCCTGTTTGACACAATTTATCCTCAGTGTCATCTTACCAGTTGCAAGATCCACCTTTGTTGTCACACACCAACCTCATATTATAGATCCAGTGATCAAGGTTTAAAAAACTGGGACACCTCAGTGAGGGCCATTGTACTTTTGACTGATGGGATTGTTTCATGATGGGATAATAGAAGTGCTCTATGGTGCAACAGTACTCATGCATTATTCAGTGACAGTGGTGTACAGATTTAAAAGTTTTCAATGATTAATTTCCCCACTATTTTTCTAAGGATACAGGGGACAAACCTCATCGTCAGATCACAATAATGAAAATAGTGAGCACCTATCGTATCTGCATCGTATAGCCTTTCCAGAATTGAAACTGATGAACTATTCTTGCTTGTTTTTTAGATCAATGATAGAACAGATACTTCATGAATGTCGTCTTCGATAATCAGACCCCAACTGGCTAATATGGCAACCAGTCTTTTGCCCAAAAGAGACCCTATCGTGCGTCCTCAGTAATATGGTTGAGGAAAGGAGGCAAATTTCTTAAGAAAATTTCAAATTATGTACCGTTAGAAGTCTCAAATACATTGCTTGCAACATAATTGAAGCTCAGTGAGACGTCCAAAACTCCGACATGAATCTCAGCTGGGTTTCCCGATATGTACTGCTAAGTGATTTTTAAAGCACGGGGTCTTCCAAACTAACAACTCTCTTTGAACTGAGATATCCTTTAATGGTTTAATCTCCCGAGCTAGAAATGTCAAAAACCCGTCTTTAGAGGTTGCTTTGACTTTCACGGGATACTCCGCATTCAACACGTTATGGTTAAGACATAACCCACAGCTAAATGTCAGATGGCCTTTGACTTAATTATTGATGCCACATCAATCGGTGACTGACTTTATCCCACAATGGATATGAACGCCGCGTGATTCCCCCACAAAGACAAGGTGGGAAGGAATAGTGTCGTTCAACCGACCAATTCAAATGATCAGTGGTTCGCTAATTTTTCATGGGCACCCGATTCTATGGACAGTCCCTTTTTAGCCACTAAGTTCTCCGATTTATTATCAAACAAAATGTGCTGAAAGGCTCATGGATAACATAAGTTTATTTCAAGCTGTTACATTTGACTGAATACTTATTTGATGAAGTATGGTATATTTGCGCAACATGTACGCCGAACAAAAAGCAAGCTTTTTAATGAACTGTTGAGTATTTGATGTTCTTTTGCACTTTCAAGTCAGATTTGAGTGAGAAGAGATGGTTTTTAAATGTGGAACTTTGAAAAGGAGTATCACCCGCAGATTCACACGCACACTTACACACACAAGTAGATACACGCATAACTATTTACCATCAACCAGTCCAATTCGCTCGGCGAAACGGCGAAATTTAGTTTTAACCTCTTCCTGCATTAGCGAAAAGCACATGGCAATCATAGAAAGTCCAATAAGGAGGTAGAAACAGCAGAATATTGGTTTTCGGGAATCTTTGTACCATTGATCCTTTTGAATACCTGGAACGAAATCCCCGAATCCTATGGTTGACAGGGTGATGAAAACAAAGTAGGCCGATTGTAAAACGCTCCATCCTTCCCATATGGAAAAAATGATTGCGCCAATAATGAGGTAGATGAGAATGATTAGCAGAGTTAACCAGATTGGGACCCGAATTTCTTGGGACTTGCCGTTCGGTTTGTTTGCACGCTTCGATATAAGTGATTGGGAAGTGGCGAGGGCGTGAATAAAGTGTTGAACTGAAGACCTTCTAGGATGTGCAGTTATCGGGATGGAAAGTTGCCCGTTCTTCTTGCCTTCTTTCATTGACCCTTCTGTTGTTGCTGTTTGCTGATCTGTGTCATTTTGCGTAATGGTGTTGATTTTCATTTGGAGTTCTTTGGGTGGAGTTTTCTTGAACATTTCTCTGGAGGAGTTGGCCTTCTGTTCGGGTTGCCGTTTTTGTCTAGATCTGAGGCAGAGCTTGTAGAAAAGACGTACGCAGCTGGCCAGGAACCCACCTAAATTAGCCATAAATAGTAGCACAAGCGGGATTCCAAACATGGCATAAAGCACTGTAACAAAGCGACCCAGTTCCGTCCGAGGTACGATGTGACCATACCCTAAAAAGGTAACAAAGGCAGCTTGATAATATAAGTATGCTGTAGCGACAGAAGTATATATGACAAAATATGGTTTAGCGTACTTCGAGAGACGTTGTCGTTGTGTCTAATCCCTAGACCGTGGTGCCTCAGTATTCTGACACAAACACTGCCGATGACATGGAGGAGGTGAACGCAGTTATCACCGTCAGAATACCTTAAAACAGCGCACTGTCCTACCCGGAAAATTTACATACCAGGCGGATCCCAATGAGGACGATCCGCTTCCATGAATCGAAACGGTGAAGAGATCGCATTCGGGTTATCTGAACAGAGAAGAGGCACTCCTGGATGTTTTTTCCAGTTTGATTTTCATATTCCTCAAATAGTCATCATCAGCCAGTTCAAGGCTTTGATCACAGATTGTTTGAACATAGTGGCTCAAAGTTGTCCTCCTGAAAACGAGACAATATAATTAATCGTTTTCCTCTTCATTCACTCCACCTTCTTGTATGATGCGTATAGAGCAATCAATGCATTTAGAGTGTTCTGGACAATTGTTAATAGCACGTGATTTATTTGAAACGGGGGTTCCCCTCTCTTTGTCAAGTGGTTTCACAGACACGGACATATCTAAAAACAAGTGACTCGTCGGAATGTTTTGTATCCGAATCCACTTCTATTTAGTTGTCGATCTGTCTAGGTGGGAACCATCATCCCTCATCAAGTCTTTCTACACTGTGGGTACCATGTAAGATTTCCCGCTACTTTTGAGGTTTGTTTTCACTATTCTATCTTTCTGGAGGAGATAATTACTTATTCGACCACAAATTCCGCTTTTCACCCTCTCTGCTCGCTAAAACGGCCACGTATTGTTTTAAAGTAGACGAGAACGTGGTCCTGAGGTTACTGCTTGAAATTTTCACTCAAACATTCAGATGTTCAATCCACTTCGCTAATTGGATGTGTCTCAGTGGAAACGGAAGCACTCATACGGTCAAGCGTTTTGGTATCCGACTGCTTATTTTTGTCGTAAATCAGTAACTAAACGAAAACGTTAATGGCTCCAGCTAAATTAATGTCCTCGCTAACCGACGGTCAAAACCTCTATAAGGACCTGCGATTTCGACGGATTACCTCTCACCTTCAAAGCGTTCCAAGGTTTGATTTTCCAGTTAAAGTATCGTTGCAAGGTAAACATGGTGGTGAATGCGGTTAACATCAGTTGATTCATTCAATTCTCACTTTACTCTCTTGTTATTTGATTATGAGAACCCGATACATTCATTTGCTTCACGTATCCTGGCCCTGGTTCAGTGGACTAGAGAGTTCAGATGCGGACAAACTTTAGTTGTCTTTGCTGACAACAACCCATCCAGAATGCGTTACTTTAATGCCCGGGATTAACTTATCAAATGCGCCATTTTACTGACTTGTATTTCACAAGTTAACGAGCTTTCCGACCGAATACTCAGCAGCTTTCGTTTTTTAATTCGTCTCATTTGGATACTTAATAAAGGCCTGACAATTTTGTAAACCGAAATTGATGGCGATGTGTATAATCACAGCACTACAATAAATGTTCGGTATGCCTGAGAAAGAAGCGATCTTTTTTACGTTCTTTTTGACAGCCTAATACTCTGGTTTGGTTTCGCAATGTTGTAGCAGAACCGGCAGCAGAGGAACGCCCTGGAGTATGCAAAACTGATGATATACATATTCTACTCATTATTGCGGGGTAGAACGAACACGTTTCTTAACAGAATGAATAATTTCAATAGTCTGTGAAAGGCAAATGGTTGTATGAGATAAAGCCATCTAAGCATGGCTCATTGTCTTCAGAAAAGATAGCTAGCGGATAATTTTTGTAATCAAGAAAGTGAATTTTTGGTTACGGGCATAATTTGGCATTCTGGAGAAAATTTAATTACCAGAGATGGGCAATTGATTTGGATTATATGACTCCAGAGGGCTGGCATTCAGTCTCTCAGCGGTTTTGGGTGCGTTCGTGTCACAGAGTGAAATAATTGTCCCGAGAGAATAGTTGATCATATCGGTTTGTGAAACGCACAGTTCTGCACATCATCATCATAGTCTATTTGTAGCTTCCCAAAGTGTAATTATATCTTGCATCCTATTCAGTTCACAGTTTAATTTGTTGTACAGCATGAGAAATGTGTGCTAAATAAGTCATTTTCAATTTAGCTTGAAACCATTCTAATGAAAAATATTTCACAGTTGTGGCATGTTTTGGCATGTTTTGGTTAAAAATGAGGAGAACTTCCTTTAGTTTAGGGTATAAAAATCCATGAATTTCAGCTACTGTTGCAATTATCCATTACATTTCCTTATTACACAAGGCTAGCACATTTTTTTCTTGAGAGCAGAGCATGGGGAACGAGGGGAATCATAAAGAATTGTGCTCATTGACCGTCTGAAAAGTGAAGTAAGACACCCACTGGTTTGGGTTGACAAAAGCTTGAGCCATTTGGCTGATTAATAAATTGGAAGGCTGCATAGCATACGTGAGTTGAGGGGTTTAATACGGGAAAGTGGTTCAAAAAGAACATTTAGAATAAATTACTTCTCATAACCACCCGTTCCAAGAGAGCTTTTGTTCCCAAAAAGTGTCACGGGGGTGTCATCACTGCTCTCTATGTCCAGATTAAACAACGGCTCTTATTTACTTAAGAAAAGCTCAGACGTCTAAAAAACGTTTGGTATTACGCAAAGGTTCCAACCAGGTGTCTTCGAAATGGTTAATGAATATAGCTAGACGCTTGCTTGAAGAAGCCTCCACAAAAGAATCAAAGGGACGCTTCTAGTCGCAGGCATATTGGCTTATCCAGCCAAGATTGTGCAGAGATGAAATAAAAAATGCCAGTTCTTGTGTTCGAAATGCTGTCATACTGTGACTGACCAAATTGGGGACCAAGCATACACCACATTATGATGCTCCGTGATGCGGCAGGACGCTTGAACGAACAGGGCATCAAACATGGTGAACTGGTGACCTGCGCGTGGGCAGGAATTCCAACGAGCGCGTGTCACTGTCAGCATACGTATGATCACAACTACAGGTTGAAAGTGATCATCAGAATTTCATTCTCTTTAAAATGTTACTAGGGCTTTTCTATGACAGTTGACACAGGTGATTAAAGGCTGGAGACGACAGCAAAGGAGCATCTGTCCAAGCAACCTGTAATGCCAGCTGACCTTAATTTGTTCTTCATCAAGCAAATCCTGGTCATCGGTCATTGGGTATTTACTCGTTGCTCTTCGTCGAAAGCGCGAAACAGCCAGCAACATAGACTGAAGCAATATTGCTTATTGATTCAAACATGTACACCAGGCCGTCACGGAGAATCTGGACCTTCCCGTGGTGTGATGGTTTGCGCACCTCAACGACCCATTAAATTACACAGAGGGGTGTCCCCGCAACACTTACAGAGTCTCTCATACCAGGTTGCCCATTGGTTAGATGTCTGACAAACACAGTTTCCTGGTTCTCCATGTCGGTTTTGGAACATGAGGTGGCCTGTTCCGTAGAATTGGTAACGCACTTGAGTTTCCGTCAAACACGGCTGCCTTGCGGTTAAGCCCTTGAGTCAAAGGCTTCGGCTGTGTACCCTGATAGTCCTTTCTAGGTGTAGGCGCCCTGACGGTATACCATCGATGTACAACCATGATACCCACGCCTAACACTAAACTCATGCCACATTGGTCGTCGCATGGGGCCATCAGCCGGGTCGTCTTACTCGCTGCATACATCAGTACGCGTAAGCGAAAACGGGATACTACTGGTACCTCCTTTCATTCTATTTCACACGCTTTCTCTTCCCCTTTTCTCCACCCTATTGATGATTCTTCCCTTGTAGTCCCAGCACTAAGGACTGATAATTCCGTTCGTCTCGTAACGGTTCTGAGTGAAACATCTACTCGCCACTTTTCACCGACATCATCAGGTATCACGAAACCAGTCTTCGTTGTTTTATAGTGGCTCGCGAAACACTTACTTGAGAGCAGCAAGCGGGATTCCGGTTTGGTAGTAGTTGCGTTGACCAATTCTTTACACTCCGTCAGGTGCTAGAACAACGCCATAAGTATTAACGGCCCAAGATTACATTGTTAGTATTTCTGAATTTTTAATGCGCATTTGACTCAGTTGGCAGGTCTGTTCTCCTTGACACGCTTACCCATCAAGGAATGTCCTGGGAGTTTGTGAACATAATGCGTTCTTTGTATTATCAGACTTTTGGACGTGTGACAGTATACGGCAAGCTCTCCAAGAACTCCTGTACACAAAACGGGGTCCGTCAGAGATGTTCACCCTTTCCCTTCCTATTTAAATTCGTGATCGATAAAATAATGAGACGAACGCTGGACGGTTTCCAAAATCCGGTGTTCAAGTAGCCTGCAACGAAAACCTTGTCGATTTGAAATATGCAGACAACACCGTTCACATCTTCGAAGAGCTGAATGAATTGGCCAAATTCATCCCGTTCTTTGGAACGCACTTTGCAAACAAGGGGTGTAAGATCATTCTCGTGGAAACGCAGTTACTGAACACGCCACTTGCAATCCAGGGCGAGAAACTGGCAGTTGTGGAGCGTTTCTTGGAACTCGTGCTGGTTCTGATTGTAGTGTGACAGATGAGGTAAATGCGCGAACCTGCGAGGCTCTGGTCTCGTTTACTAATTTGGGGCACCGATAGGTCAAAGCGGTATATCGCTGAATCTGAAGAGTCGTGTGTATCAGGCTACAGTGCAGGCTGTTTTGTTGTATGGCTGTGAGACTTGGCCTGTTCGAGCAGCGATATTGAAATGTCTTTAGGTGTTCGAAAACAGTCATCTCAGAAACATAGCTCATGCGAGTTGGTGTCGGCGAATCCGTAATGAGGCAATTAGAAAGCGAGTTTTCGCTTGCGCAACGGGAATTTCCATCTGAGAATTTGTCCAGGTTAGGTTAGGTTGGTTAGGTCATGTATTCTACCGAACCATCGTTTGTCGAAGAGGGTGTTG